AGCCTCAAGGCTTCTATCAATGTTACAGTATTGCTGCATGCAGCAGCAGCAGCCACAGCCACAGCAGCTGCAGCAGCAGCAGCAGCCGGGGCCACAGCCACAGCAGCAGCAGCAGCAGCAGCAGCAGACCCCGAAGTTGGTGCTGTGCAGCCCGTTTATGTACAGGGACGAGCAGTTAGTGGTTTAGGGTTTACAACTTCGTTATTGAGTCTAGGGTTTAGGGTTTAGGGCGAAGGGTTTGCGCAAACGTTGCCCGCTGCCTGCAGCAGCAGCAGCAGCAGCAGCAGCAGCAGCAGCAGCAGCCCCGGCGGCGCTGGGGGTCGGTGTCTGGGGTCGTTTTGGCCGGATTTTGTTGGTTTTTGCGTCTGCATGCATCGAAAAGTGGCGGGAAACCTCGAAAAAGGGTTTATTTTGGAAAATAAAACCTTTTTTGGAGTTAATTTTCGGGTTTTTGGAGCTTTTCCGCGAGAAAGCATGTCCGTTCGGTGCCGCCACCTGCTGGTGAAGCACAGCGGCTCGCGGAACCCTGTGAGCCGCCGCACGCAGCAGGCGGTGACGCGCAGCAAATCGGAGGCTTTGCTGCTGCTGCAGGAGCTGCAGCAGCAGCTGCAGCAGCAGCAGCAGCAGCTGGAGCAGCAGGGGCTGCCGCTGGAGCAGCGGCAGCAGCAGCAGCAGCAACTCTTCGCAGCACTCGCGCAGCAGCACAGCGACTGCAGCTCCTTCCGCCAAGGAGGAGATCTCGGCTGCTTCTCCAAAGGACAGATGCAGCAGCAATTCGAATTTGCTGCTTTCAGTTTGCTGCCGCAGCAGCTCAGCGAAGTCGTCGAGACCGACAGCGGCCTCCACCTCATCCTCAGGATTGCCTAGCAGCAGCAGCAGCAGCAGCAGCAGCAGCAGCAGCAGCAGCGGCGGCGGCGGCAGCAGTGCAGCAGCAGCAGCAGTGCAGCAGCAGCAGCAGCAGCAGCAGCAGCAGTGCAGCAGCAGTGCAGCAGCAGAAGCTGCAGCAGCAGAAGCAGCAGCGGAAGCTGCAGCAGCAAGGAGCGAAGAACAGGCCCGGCGTGCAGTAGTGGAGAGTCGGAAGCAGCAGCAGCGGCACCATGAGCAGCAGCAGCGGCGACAGCAGCAGCAGCAGCAGCAGCAGCAGCAGCAGCAGCAGCAGCAGCAGCGATGTGCTGGAACATATGGAGTTTGAGGTGTTTGGGAAAGTGCAGGGGGTTTGCTTCAGGGCCTACACGCAGAAAGAAGCAAAAAGGTGCAGCCCAAACCCTAGCAAACCCTAAACCCTAAACCCTAAACCCTAAACCCTAAACCCTGTAAACCCTCGTTGATAAACCCTAGAAACGGACAACTCCAAACCCCAGTTGGCGAGTTCTGGTTCCTAAACCCTAAACCCTAAACCCTAGTTCAGTAGCCCTCGTCTGCAAACCCTAGAGAACAGATCGGCGCAAACCCCAAACCCTAAACCCTAAACCCTAAACCCTCGCGCGCAGCGCGCGCCAACGACCTGGGGCGCGCAGCTCGCGACCCCCAAACCCTAAACCCTAAACCCTAAACCCTAGCGAAACCCTTTTTCGAATTCTGGAGAATAAATAATTTATTTATTTATTTATTTATTTATTTATTTATTTATTTATTTATTTGTTTATTTATTTATTTATTTTAGGCTGGGACTTGTAGGGTTTGTGAGGAATAAGCCCAGCGGGAGTGTCGAAGTGGCAGCAGAAGGGTTTAGCAAAACCCTCCAAGGGTTTAGGGTTTGGCTCCAAACCACCGGCAGCCCCCGCAGCAGCGTTTCGAGGGTTTGCGTTCGAGAGAAAAGAACCATTCAAACCCTTTCTTTCTCCGACTTCCAGGTCCAAACCCTAAACCCTAAACCCTAAACCCTAAACCCTAAACCCTGCGCAGTAGACCCTTCTTTCGGCGGCCTGCAGGTCCAAACCCTAAACCCTAAACTCCTCCCCTCGCAGACTTACAGGTCCAAACCCTAAACCCTAAACCCTAAACCCTTCTTTTCAGCGGCTCACAGGGCCAAACCCTAAACCCTAAACCCTTCGCAGACTTACAGGTCCAAACCCTAAACCCTAGGTTTTGCAGCCTAGCGTTCAGCAGCTGAAGAGCCAAACCCTAAACCCTAAACCCTAATTTCTGTTTTCTGGGGGCAAACCCTAAATCCCAGGCGCCGCCGACGGAGCAGCAAACCCTAAACCCTAGCTCCCCCGGCTAAACCCTAAACCCTAGCTTCCCTGGGCCAAACCCTAAACCCTAGCTTCTGTGGGCTAAACCCTAAACCCTAGCTTCTGTGGGCTAAACCCTAAACCCTAGCTTTCGAAGACTTCCAGTTGCAAACCCTAAACCCTGAGAAAGAGGTTAAAGGGAGGGAATTGAATTTGTGTTTGCTGTCTTCAGATTATCAGAGACCCTAAACCCTAAACCCTAAACCCTAAACCCTCGTCGCAAACCCCAAGGTCCGTAGACCTCAGTCCAAAGCCCGAAACCTCCCTTCGAGGGTTTAGGGTTTAGGGTTTAGGGTCTACGGCTTCTGTCTTGTTCTTGTGGCTGCTCGCCTCCACCAAATCCATCAAAAGCAGCAGCAGCACAGCAGCAGCAGCAGCACAGCAGCAACAGCACAGCAGCAGCAGCACAGCAGCAGCAGCAGCACAGTAACAGCAGCAGCAGCAGCACAGTAACAGCAGCAGCAGCAGCACAGTAACAGCAGCAGCAGCAGCACAGTAACAGCAGCAGCAGCACAGTAACAGCAGCAGCAGCAGCACAGTAAAAAGAGCAGCACAGCAGCAGCAGCAGCAGCACAGCCTCAGCAGCTGCTCTGCAAATAAATAAAAATTAAAAATTAAAAATTAATTTTATATAAAAAATTAAAAGTGTAAATTAAAAAACGCAAAATGAAAAAAGTAAATGCTGCTGCTGCTGCTGCTGCTGCTGCAGCAGCAGCAGCAGCCGCAGCAGCAGCAGCCACAGGCGGCCCCCAAAGGAATTCCCAACTCTATTTAGTGAATTAAGTTATTATTGTTAATTTATATTTATTATTTATTTATTTATTCTATTTATTTATTTATTTTATTTATTTATTTATTTTATTTATTAATTTATTTATTTATTATTTAATTATTTAATTATTATTATTTATTTATTATTTGCAAAAAGGGAGAATCGCACGCGAATTCTACACTACAGCCAGATGCTTCAGATCAGTTTGCTGCTGCTGCTGCTGCTGCTGCTGCTGCTGCTGCAGCTGTTGCTGCTGCTTGCTGCTCTCGGCTGCTGCTAAGTCTTTGCAGCAGCAGCAGCAGCAGCAGAGGGTACAGGGCCGCTGCGCGGGCCCTGGGAGCAGCAAATATGCTGCTGCTGCAGCTCTTGCTGCTGCAGCTCCTGCTGCTGCAGCTCTTGCTGCTGCAGCTCTTGTT